AAGCTGTACCGAGCTCATTTCTTTAAGCATATGTTTGCTTTATTTGAAGACTTTATTTTAAGATTGAACAATTATTATACATTTTCCACTCAGGGCCAGATTTTGGCCTTTGCCAAGATCTGCTCTTTTTGGGGTTTTTGGTAAATATTTTTTCTGGACTCAGTTCTGTCTGGGCTCATAGTGCTAGAGAGAGGCACAGTGCGGGCAGGTGCACTGGACGCGTCCTGCTGTTGGTTTTGCCTGCATTAATTTTTTGTTGTAGACAATTTCTGACCTCAGGCATCCCTGCTGTTCCTGGGCTGACCGTGTTTTCTGTAATCCAAGACCAGAGGGTGGTTTTGTTATGAGCGCAGCTTGTGTCTGCTAAGGGTGTGACCCAGCTTCCATTGAAGTCAACGGAAGGACTCCCATTGATTTCAGTGTGTGCTGGATCAGGTCTGGGGCTGTGATCACGACTTCATTTCACATTGGACACAGTGAGTCATAAACTAAAGCCTTCAGAAGTTAAAGGCGAGGGGATTTATCCTGCCTTTTGAGAAAAAAACTCTCTCCCATTCTGCTTTGACATTGGCAAGAAAAGGATAATTATGCTGGGCAGTGACTACAAAAGCAGTAAGAAAAATAGTGCTATCTTGGTCTCGGGGAATTTCAGTCTAAATTCTCACAGACGGACACATTTGCTCCTATCAGATGTAATTTACACACAGCAATCAGTGTTGGCCAAAGACCAAATTTTTATAGAAAGCGTTTTCTGAATCTTACAAATGTGGGCCATAATCAAATGCAGCCTCGTTGAAGCTAGTTGACTGAGGTTAATCAGGGACACAAAGATCTGCCTGTATGCAGTGGCTTGCAGGCTCCTAACCACAGGAAAACCAAAAGCTTTCAGTTTTCATTGTAGGTATATGTTTCTAATTCATGTCATTTGCTGTGTGGCATTTTCATATCTACATCGACACAGTGTTTTGATTAAACTCTTGAAAGTATCCGTAAGGTAGGTTGCCCATCGCTGCTACATTAACATCAGTTCTTTACTCACCGGTCATCACATGGGCACCTGAAATCCCGTTGCTGTGTTGCTTTCCCCATCCGATCAGCTGCAACCTTGTCACCACCCATCTGAATAGCCATCGTCCTCATGGGAGAACACAACGATGAAAGACATCGCCGGTGGTGTGGGTCTTTGCGGGTAACACTGCTAACTGCTTGTGCTTCTCCTTAGAGCGTAGAAAACTACTGACTGTGATCTTAGGCTGAGAATTTTATAGGATAACCCATTCTGGTTGGATTCATTTCTAAATTTTCTTTTTAACTTCTTTTACAGCTCCAGCCTTAGCTACATTCTGCATCTCTCTATTCACCTTACATTTTCTCCAGTGTACTGCTTCTTTCCCCTTTAGGATCAAAATCTGGGGCATAGACAAGGAGAGCAGGGACAGTCTTCTCTTTTGGTTTTCTGAAGCACCCAGCAGGAAAATAGAAAAGAAAACAAATGGAGATTTTATTGAGCAGAAATTGCCTTTTCCTGTTTGGAAGAGGTCTGTGTTAAACAAAGGAGGTGTTTTTTAATCCTTTATTTTCTACTGCATGGAGTTACTTCCTCTTGTGTCCTCTGTGTGTCAATCTTTTCTTGCTCCTGTTCAATGCTCTGCTGGCCATCGTCTCTGAACACTTCACCGGCTAGGTAGCAGTCATCAGCACAGTTTTGCTGTTGGGATGTCAGGTGTTTGTGTCATTGTAAGGTAATGTCTTCCTTTGGGTTCAGATTTGAGTGTGACATCACTGCAAACTGTTCTAAGCCCTGCCACTATCAAGGTCTAAACCCCAAATCGCATTGACTGCAGTGTGGCCAGTTTTGTTCCTCCAGAATGCCAGATGTCCTGCATCACCTCATTTTTATTTTTTTTTTTGCGGGGGAAACAGAGCAAGAAACACATCCTGGCACTGCTGAAGCCACTCAAGAGGTATTAGTGCTTGGTTATGAAGGAAGGAAGGCATGAGGTGGAGAGGGAGCAAAAGACCATGCAGGTGTTTTTTGAGGGTTGGGGTGTTACATGCTGTGTTCATAGAGTTTCACTCTTAGCTTCCGTGTTATTTTTTGCAGAGTGATATTCAGAGGAGACACAGTAACACTTTGTCCTATAAAACATGGCGATGGTGAGGAAGAACGTTCTTCCATGTGATCAGCAACATCACTAGGAGGAAGAAAATTAATTTATCTCTTCTATGAGTGTCTTCTAACAGGAATTACCGTGAGACATTTGCATTTGTTATGCAGTGTGCAGCACACTGAGATGCCTGCACATTTGAGATTGCAAAGTTTGTTTTCGTAACAGCCATAACTGCAGAGTAGGAAAAAAACTACAACAAAACCTGCCAACAATAAAACCAAAATAAACCAAAAAAATCAGCCCAAAGATATTATATCAGTGTTTTTTTAAAAACAGAGCTGTATGGTGGTAATTTCTTCAGTTTTGATTGTAGTTGCAAAAGACAGGCTCAGCCATGAACAGGATTAACTCCTTCACTCTGCAGCAAAAGCTGATAGTTCGATAGAGGAGTGACAAAGCTGTGTTTAGAGAAATACATCCATCATTCCTGCAGGGTGTTTGTGTAGACGTGTCAATCCTTGTCCTGGACTGAAGAGAAGCACTGTCTGGTCAGGTGCAAATATAAGAGCATTCGTCAGGAGAAGAGGTGATGACTTTTGAGAATAAACAGCATGTGAGCACGTGTGTCTGACTTATCTCAAGCTACTTCTTAGTTGTTTTAGGATGTGTGATTGTAAAGGAAAAAACAGTGGTGTCTGACCTATTAAAATCATATAATCCATCCGTTCTGTGGTCATTATGGTGACTCAACAGGCTAAGTATTGCGCTACACTGAGCAACTGCAAATTTGTTTCCCAGACTTGGTTTTGGGAGTGGTTTCTGCAGCTTAACGTTTAGGGGAATGAACTATGGTCATGGGTAAAATTTTCAAAATTGGCCAAATGACTTGGGAACCCAAACCCCATTTTTTAAGATTATGTAGGCTGTGCAGACTTCTCAGACCCTTAATTTGCAGTGAAATGTAGAACTGAGTTTTCAGCAGTTTCTCTATATCTGATTCTTGGGATCTAAAATGCTTCATAAGCTGATGTGGATGTAACACACACATACTTACATGTGCGCTCACTTTTGAGAATACAAACTAAGGGAAGGTACTCCAACCTCTGCAGTTTACTTTTTTCCATGGGTGACAAATTCTTTCAGGTGCCTCCTGCGGCTAGCAGGTCTGAGTTTGGAGAAGCCAGCACCAGAGAGCTGCTGTGATGCATGGGGCTGGTGGCTGGATGCCCGGCAGCAGTCTCAAGCATACAGCAGTTGCTAGTGAGAGCTGTCTGCCTTTGGGGCACAGAGGGTTGGCTGTTCAAGCACTAACCTTTGCCTTCCTAGCATGAGTCGATTTCCGAATTGGTTTACTGTGTCCCTAAGTGATGCTCCCTGACAAGGCAGCCAGTTCTCTGGAGAAGACCAGTTCTCAAAGAGGGGCCATGGTCTGGGGGGGACTGAACAGAGGAGCATCTAGCCTGGACTTTTCTTTCTGCTTGCTTCTGTGTATGAGAAGCAAGAGACATTTTCTTTTTGAAGTACTCAGTCTTAGTGGAGGTTGGCCAGACTATACAGCTCAGGGAGGCAGTGAAGCTCCTTGCATTCATTGTTACAGTTGGGCTGGATGGAAAGAGATGAAAACACCGTTCAGAGGAGGGTGAATGTCTTCAGGCGTTGAGCAGCTGTGCTAAAAAGCAAGTGGACTGTATCAAAGGAAGCTGGGAGCTGTTGGCTTAGCAATGGTTTTGCTCTTGTCTATTTTATGCTTTTGATAACTTCCTTGGCCTGTAACATCTTTGTCAGAGTTGTGTAAAAAGAAAAGGAAAACCAAGGATAACCGAGTAAGAATAAAGCAGTTCCGCTGCGTGAGATGCCACACTTGGTGTGGCATAGTGCTCTCAAAACCCTTCTTTCTTCTCTGTATTCTGGAGCAGTTATGTGTTGTACCAAAACACACCACCAGCCCGTGCTGCAAAAATATAAACTGTCTCTTAAATTTGAAAGAGCAGGATGCAAAACCCTTTAAAGCTGGAGAGAAAATGTAGATAGCCAATGTCCAGTGATCTCAAACTGATAATTTGACAGGGTGCTGGTCAGTGTGTTTAGAAACTGCTGTCAAACGTTCAGCAGGGTCTTCAACACCCATCACTTATAAATGGTGTTGACCATTTATAAGAACCAAATTGACCATTGGTTCTAAATGATGTTGACCATTTAAGAACCAAATGGTTCTTAAAAGAACAGAGTTCCTCATGATGAGGTTTTGTTTTTCTAAAAAACATTGTTAAATAATAGCCACTGTCATGATGCTGCTGTTGATAGTAGTGGATATTGGCCTCTGCCTTTTATCCATCTAAACCCTTTAAAGTTATGGGAATGCTTCCTCCCTCTTATCACATCATCCTTGTCTATTTGAACTCTGTGGGATAAAGTGTGTTTGCACTGTCCAGGACATTGAAATTTATGGCTTGTTTTGTAACATTGGATGTAACAGAAAAAAATTAAAAACTTAAAGCTACACTAGGGTAGCACTGAAGATGGTGTACACCTACATTTCTGGAACTCAAATCGGGGGACCAGAGTTTTCAGATAAATCACTGTCATTTTTATTTTATTGTATTGCTTTTTTTTTTTTTTTTTTTTTTTTGGAAGACAGAATGCAAATGAATTTAGAGAGAGAGAGATTCAAGTTCACAATTTGTTCTGTGCTCACAGACAGCATGCAAACTGTTGATGGAGTTGATGGTGACATGACTGCACAGCTAAATAAACATGATGAAAGGAATCTTTATATTCATGATCTTAATTTAGGCTCTATTCATCTAGAGGCCTGATGTAATTCAGATGGCATGACTGGCAACATCACACCTATTCTCCCAGGACCAAATGCCATTTGTCTGAAAAAGCATCTTTAAAGGATACACCCATAGCCTTCTCATATACAGAAGATCTTTCACTGTTGTGAGCTGAGAAAGAAATGACTGTACATTGATTTCAGAGAAATCAGAGGGGAAAATGTCACAGCATGTGACATGATGGGGATTTAGAGCACAACTTCTTCCTAGTGATGTGTATCCATTGGTTTCTTCTGTGTCCACTGCTAGGCTGAGGGGTAGGTACGGTGCATGCCTGGGCTCCCACATTGCAGGTGAGGGAGTTTGCTCCGGTATAAAGTGGCTGGGGCATGGTCCTGGGATCAGAACTTAGGAGCTACTGCTGCCTCTGGGAATCTGGAGAGAGCCATAGGACCTGAGGACACACTGATTATTTCAGTCCCATGATTTGTCTTCTATATGCAGAGGACCTGTATTTTCCTTGACATACCAGAAAGAGAAGGGTTTTATATGTTTGGTTAACAGGGAAAAGGTCTTTTCATGAATTTTTGCTTACCTTTGTAACTCAGGGTTGCAAACTTAGTGAAGTCAATGAGAATTTTGCCTTTGGCACAAGGATCTCATCCCAGGACTTTGTGTTAGATCCACATCTGTAACGTATGTGGGAGGTATATACAAGAAATACATTTCTCCATTTCCAGTTCAAACTGAGCCTCAATTCCTGAGGTTGGTCCACATTGCCAAAAATGAAGCCATCATTCACTCCTTACCTTCACGCCTTATAGATGACAGCAATGGTAAAACTGTGGTGGACAGCTTTCAGTACTGTGTCATCTGAGTGGAACTGGGAGATGTGGTGATAAAATGTGTGCCTCTGAATCTGGTCCACACCCTGCCTCTGCCAGCACTTCCAGGGATGAATGTTGGTAGGCAATTGCCAGTTAGGGGAGATAAAGTGATCAGGGAAGGAGGCAGAATGTTTTAATTATAAAAACAAAATAATTCCCCCTTCTCCCCCCCCCTTTTTTTTTTGTTTACCTTCCCTGCATTTCGTTTTTCAGTCCATTTGTTTAGTAATGTACCTCATTTTCATGATATTATCCTATTGCTGTTGACTGGTTAGCATTGCTATTGATTTGTTCATGTGATGAGAACTTATGAGAATTTCCTCCAGCTGAAGACTGGTTTGTTTTACATATCAACAGGTTTGGCCATTTAGTAACTGTGGGGGACAGGTTTTCAGGTGGAGGAAATTTTCATAAATAAGTCAGTGAAATGATAGTCAGTTATGTTGTTAACTGCATGCAGGTCATGAGAGAGCTTTTTTTCATGCCTGTCATGCTAGGCCTGCTTTCTGTTTGCCCATGACCTGTGGCCATCTGGCCAGTGATGTCTGGGTTGTAGGTGTGTGTAGCTGCAGCAGCAGAAGTCCAACTCTTTACCTGTACACTGCTCAACTCCATAGCTTTCTTCAGAGGACCTTCAGCTTGGCCTTCCCTGTAAATTTGCAAGGAATCTCTCGCTTGCATCTTGCTGAGCTCTCACTCTCAATTTTTTGTCGTTGTTGTTGTTTTTTTATCTGTTGCTCTTCTTTACTAGAAGTGGAAATTAGTTCCTTCTTCAGAGTGTTTTTCAAGTATGGTATAGTGTCTGGCACACTGGGGAAGGGTGATGTCTGTGTGGAACAGGGCCACATTGTGCAACATTTTGGCTCCCTTAGAATAAGGAGCATTATGCCTGCATGGTATTGCATAACTTGAAGTAGCACCAGGCAGTGAAAATTGTTCTCATTACTTCCAAACAGACCTGTTTGTTTCATCTGTTTTTGTTTACTGCCTTATTTTTATGGCCCTGAGGGAAGTGCATGTATGTTGAGAAGAGGTATTAGGTTCCATAGGAAGCTGTGTCCTTCCATGGCTTTTTTTTTCCAATAGCGTGGTTGCTCTCTGATACCTGAGAGTCATAGGTCAAGGACAGGATTTTCTGCCAAGAGTTCATTCCCATGCATGAAAGAACAGGAGGTTCAGCATGTGAGACAATCCTTGTGTTCAGTAGTGTATTAGTTTCCAGAGTTTGTACCTTTTATACTTTTATACGCAAGAGTAAATTAGGGGTTTTCAATAGCAGCACAGCTGTCCTTGTCCAAAAACTAATTTATGACAGGTGGTAGTGAAAAAGAAAGAATCAGTTGTTTCCATCTGAACTTTTACTTGTTTTCATGTTTTTATAAATATAGATCCTTCACAAACATTTATTTGAGAATCAGTTTAATCATTTTTTAAAGGTAAGCGTATACTTCTGGCTTTATGTCCCATTTGATTATTAAAAGAAACTTCCTTATGCCACAAAAAAGTGAACAAGGTAATTGTATTTTTTTGAATTCTTTCTTTTGTTAGTAATTTTCTTAGTAGTATTCATAATAGTCAGTAGGGTTGCTTTTATAGCTTATCAATTGGCATATTTTTGCTATTTCAAATTTTCTTTTCAGGTTTTCATGATTTTCTGAATTTTTGGCATCAGAACATGAATTTGGCAGGCACTTTCTTTTTGTACAGTACTCATACGGTAGTCATTACAGCTCTTCAGTCTTCAGCTATTAAGATTTCACAATGCCTCAGGAGCTACTTAGCTGTTCATTCTGTGAAAGCCTATTTTATCCCTTTCATTCCTTATGGAATGAAATTTACTCTTTTTTTCTATCATTATTATGTGGGCCAAATCCAGCGCAGAGGGGCAGTCTTTCCTGGCTGAATAGCTCCATACTGCTTCCATAGTTGTCTGGCAATGCTATATTGGAAAAGTAATGTAAAAGTCAATGGTTATATGTGCAGATGCCACACTACATGTGTATAGCATATTTATTTTGTATATTAAAAATTTCAGTGTTTAGTTATTTTTTATATTATTAATTTCTTGTCTGTCAAAAAAAAAAAAAAGAAAAAGAGACTTCAGTGGTTAAGACCTGGATTATCAGATATCATTGGTATAGTCAGGTACCAAATCAATCTAAATCTGGAACTCTCTCTGGATCTTTTTTGTAAATAAATAATATTATGTTTCAAAAATTAATGGAGATATGTGTGGAAATGCATAACTGTCTGATTCAACCCTTATTTCTCCAAGGAGCCATCTAAAAGCTACAGGATACAGAGGAACATCAGATTTGTAGAATTATGGAAGTAGTAGTGAAAATCTTCATTGCTGCCTTCTTTTGGATCTTATGAAGTTCCAACCCCGTGAAGCAATTTTCCTCTAGCTCCTCCCTAAATTATAAGTAAAAGCAATCTATTCATTGTAGTTGAAATTGTCTTTTAGAGTGAAATATTCAAGCAGTTGTTAATTCTTAACATCATTAAACGTCTTTGAACTTCTCAGCTGGAAGGTAACTTTGCATGCTTACTGGGTATTTTATTTTCTACATGTAGTATGTATCTGGAGGATAATTCATAATGAAATGTGAAATTGTGACTGATAGCAAAACGATGTAGAAGACCGAAATTACCACATGCATTGCAACATCACATATTAAGGCCAGTTATGATAAACCTTATTTCTTTGCTCTATTTAAAAAATAACATTGTAATGAGGCCCTGCATATTTAACTTTTGGTCGCTTAAATAGTTCAGAAGTGATGCATTCCAAAAATGGCTTCACCGGTTCTTGTTGGTTGACTTCTTGTGCAGTCAAGTGCTCTTCAGAATCTGCTTCTTTACAGCTATTGTCAAATATTATTTCATATTTTTGAGTGTATGTTCAAAACACATTGTCAACATCTTCACTGAAGTTAGCAGTAAAGCAGTAAAAGTTTTATGGCATCTGTAACTAATATCCCAGGTTGTCTATTGGAACAAACTGTTTTCTAATAGATTTTTTTTTTTTTAAAGAATAACATTTTTTCTGAAGGCTTTAATGAGGTGAGAAAGAAGGCTTCCCTAAAGAATCACTGCAGAATGGTACTATTTACCAGCAATATAAGGAACAAAACTCTCTGCTTTTGTCCCGCTGCAGTCTTATTCTGAGCTTGGGACTAGTTACAGAGCAAAAATGGTGTAGGATAGCAATGAAGGTGGTGACCTTACAGGACTTTCCACTGAGGTTTCAGTCTCTGATGTTGCCCATTTCTGTCTGGTATGGTAGTGTCACGCTTAGCAAGCAATGTGTGTTGTCGGGCCATTTTTTTGTGGGAGTTCAGAGCAAGGTCACTACTTCATCTGAAAATCATGTGGCTCAGAAGGTACGAATGCTCCTGAACACATGGCATGCTTTGCATTTGCCATTTATTTTCAAGAGTTTGGGTAAAACTCTTCACAAGGAGGTTGGTGCAAGTCTACTGTTGTTTATAGTTCCCAAAAAGCTGAGAATTACATAGAATCGTAGAATGGTTTGGGTTGGAAGGGACCTTAAAGACCATGGAATTCCACTCCCCCTGCCATGGGCAGGGACACCTCCCACCAGACCAGGCTGCCCAAAGCCCCATCCAGCCTGGCCTTGAACACCTCCAGGGATGGGGCATCCACATCTTTCTCAGCAACCTGTTCTCTTTAAGTAGTGTCTGCATGGATACCTGTTGTTTCAGAAGTGGAGGTTTCTGAGAGGGAACGGCCAGATTTTTCCCAAAGTTTTCAAAGGGAATTTTACTGCATGGCAGTGCTAAGGACTTTTAAATGCTTGTATGGGGCACAGAGTTGAAGCACTGAGAGCAGCAAAGAGATCTCATTTTTCATTCTTTCAGTATCTCCTAATACCATTTGCAACTGTGGTTTTATCATATTCAGATACTTTTCTTGCCAGGAAAATTATGATTCTGCCATACCGTTAGGCAGCCAGCACTGGAAAGTTTACTCATGCTATGCAGTTATGGTAATTCTCAGAGGATGTTTATTATTTGGAAAACAGAGCTCCATACAGGATGAGGAATTCTTACTACAATTAGTTCCCAAATTAATGTATCACTATTTAATAAGATCCAGATTTCTTGGCCTGAATCTTTTGTAGAAGAAACACATTTTTTTCCTTATCTGTGGTGGCATCTGGGGACTGGGAAGCCTCCTTTTATCACTTCAAATACCTGTGCATGTAAACACAGATGGATTTGCAAAGTCCGACCAGTCTGTTACCTCATCCTTCTCAGAAAAGAGTGAAATTTGGATAACATACTTGATAAAGTGCGGAGGTGTGGTTTCTACTGTACTTTTTATAGAGGAAAAAATGATTTAGGAGACAGTAAAAGGAGATAATGGTGGGAGAGTGGACATACGCCTTGCATTTTGTTTATTCCCCTTTTTCTTGAAGAGTGAAAATGAAAAATCAAATTACCTCAGTGTAGCAGAAGAAGAAAGACTGCTATTTTTTTTTTAACTTACTGTTTTGGGCTGCCCGTCTCCAAAACCAAGTGTAAGCATGCAGATATTTATTCTCAATACAATTACGGGTATTCTTTGTATTTCTCACAGTTTTTAGTTTGTTGCTTAACTTTAGGAGAATATGTTTTCACATCAGACATACCTCATAGGCAGGGTATTTTAAGCTCATAAATCCTTCATGTGAAGTAACGTAGTCTTTGAAGTAGAAAACAGTTGGTCAGGCAAAGGTGAAGGCAGCACTGGGTGTAATTCAGATACATTCAGGGTACCCGCTCCTTAACGTGGTCAAGCCAGGCCTGAGTGATGCATAGCCTGGCATGGAGGCACAGGCTGCTGCTTGAGGCACTGCCAAATGTTGGTAGCACATCTGCTTAGCTGGGTCCCTGTGAATGGCTTCATAATGGGTCAGCTGGGCTCTCCTCTTTTACTGGTGTTTGGAAGTCTCACAAACGTCTGAAACACACTTTGGTTCTCTGAATTTCCTTCCTCTGAAAGAATGGAAAAACTCACTTAGAAAGCTTGTATGTCTCTGCAGGATATGTATTGTAACTGAGATGCTTATATACTGTAGCAATAGTAACTATAAACATTGTTCAGTGTGTTCAATGTCCTCTGGATTAATATTATTATTTTTACCATGGAAGTATTCTTCAAATATCCAGTATTCTCTGACACATTGGTCTAATGAATTACTTGCTGTCTGCAATTAACAGATGCATTTATAATCAGTCTGGTCTTCGTAATTATCCCCAAAAATATTTGAATGTAGTTTTGTGCTGTAGAAATCCATAGAAAACTTCTGTATTTTAGAAAATGTCACTTAGAATCTTATGAAAAGGGGGAAAACAATATGTATATTATGTTAGCCAAGAAGTTAGCGTGGTGTCTGAACAAACATCAGATATATCAACAAAATTCTGCTTAAGTCATTATTAATCTGAACTGTTCATGTAGAAATTATACTTTGTTACAGCTGATCAGAGCAGCCTCTGGGTGCCACCATGAGCTTTCAGACTAGGGATATACCTGTTATTTGGAGGGTCTCAATGGATCTACATCCAGCAGCCTTCTGCATCCTCTGCTT